CGTCTTCCACCAAACTAACTTTTGTCCGGTCGACAAACTGAATTTTCTCCTCGACATGAATTCTACCTGGACGACTGAGGGATTCTTCACACGCTTCATGGAAGAATGTTTTATCTTTTCTGGACCTTGTTGGGTTGGAGATTTGTTGGGGCAGATTTATGAAGCTGGTGGAGAAAACCCTGAACCGGAATTCCCACAAATCTACAGCGGGGCATTGTGAAAAAGATCCATTACCTACTTAGAGCACAATTTAGGGTTCACGCCATTTTTAGTGGTGTCCAAATGTCCAATTTTCCACAGTGCACCTTGTGAAATAGTGTCTAGCGCTGGTCACTAGACTCGTATAGACCACAATGCATTGGGAGAGTTGTAAAAATAACAACAACAGGTGTTTAACTGGACACAACATGATGAAAGCTGATAGAAGCTGTTTAACTCAGCACTAGAAATACTACCACAGTTATACCGTATTTTCCAGACTATAGAGCACACCTGAATATACGCCGCATCAACTAAATTTTAACGAAATTTAAAAATTGTACATATATAGGCCGCACCTGAATATAAGCCGCAGGTGTCCACGTCTTCAAGAACGTTTTCAAGTTCAGGCCGTCTGCTTTTATCGCCTCTGAAAGCTTTTGTCGTCTTTTTGCATTGAGTCAGTTCGTCACGCTGCCGTCGCCAAAATGTCACCATCGACTCACTGATCGGGGCTCACGTGCAGCAGCTCGTGAGGTTCATACCGTGACGATATCGTACCGTGAGACTTGGATATCATTACACCCCAAGTCCATAAACACTTTTGTGCCATATTTATTACAGAAATCAAGTTTTAATGTGCCCTGAAAGTAGTGAGCTGTGAATTTCTCTGTGATTGAGGGGGTTAGGGAGCTTGGGTGGACATTCGGACACAGCCTGGGATTGTACGTCATAAATCAGACGCTTCGTGGGAATCTCTGTCGCCGTGGACGTTAACTGCGGCTGAGTTTGTTCTAGTTTCCGTTGTTTTGGATTTTCAGGCTCTTAACTAATCGACAGCTTTCCGCTATGTTTGTGTCTACGCTCCAGTCGTCGTCGGAGGTCAAAGTTTCAGAGTTTTGACAACCGGGATAACCCACAACCTCGGAATTCCAACTGGGAAACTCGGAGAACACTTCACACCAGTCTTGACGGTTAAAATACTGATAGTGCTTTTATTATTTTCCATTTAAGGTGCTCCTCATGTCCATCGGCGTCTGTGAACCTGCTTCTGTCTCCAACAAAAGTTCAAATTCACCCTCAAATGTCGCTCTATAAACTTGTAAACGATGTCACGACGCCACAGCTAATTTCTTTTCTTCCTTTGTTCTTCATCAAACAAAAGACAGTTACCGGTTCTGGAGGACGACAGGGAAAGGGACCAGAGGATCGAACCCAGAACCTTCTTGCTGAGAGGTAAATAAAGGAGAAACAGGGACCACAAAGCCCGTCATATGAGAGCTCTTCAGAACAAATGTTTTGTGGCGTGTCCGCTTAAAGTGCATATGACAGTTGTTTACATGTTTTTGTACTTGTGACTTGTTTGGTGGGACAGTATCAGTGGTCAGTATTTATCATTTTCCGTTTTATATAAGGTTATTTTTGTCTCATTAATATTCATAAATGCACAGAGAGTGATGCACACATAGTCATTGGTTTGCACATGTGTTTTGATAGCCACAAATACAAATGTAATGTTTGTAACTTGTATTTGTCATATGTCATATTTTTGCATGAGCTGCGAAACATTTTCCACCAAAATAAACTTTCACTAGCGAGGACCATACCAAAGACGACGTAGTGCGAAGAAGTTTATTGATATTGTATGAAGCGGGGTTGAGACTCTAGGTGGGGGCTCCGTCTCAATCTTCAATGGGCCCTGGAGACCCCCCTTGGGATGATGGGAAAGGCTGCTACATAAAGGCTTCTGGGAAATTAGAGGTGTGGTCGAGGTGGGTTGTGTTTCGCTGGTGAGAGGAGAGGGCGGCTGAGGCGTGGTCCTGCTCCTGAATCTCAGTGAATCATATTAACTACATTTTGTCCAGTTGACAGATTGAATTTCTCCTTTTGCCACGGATTCTACCTGGACGACGGAGGGATTTTACATTTTTAAGAGGAGCATGCCAATGTTCCCTCATTTCTAATTTTTTTTTTTTTTTCTTTTCCAAAATTAGGCCTTATGTTCCTTAGGCCTTGACTTTACGCCAGGTAACACCTATAACAACACTGCCCTCTAGTGGATGCCTGTGGATTTAACAAAAAGAATGTCTCAAAAATACATCATCGAAATCTCTGAATTTGTGCAATTGTTCATCAACAAATGCAAATCACATTTTAAAAGTAGAATCTTCAGTTTTTCTTTTTTTTTTGGCAAATTTTTGCCTGTTTGCCTGACGAAGGCCTAGTGCCGAAATGTTGCAGGGTTGGTCCTAATAAATTTCACAGTTTTCAAGTAAGACGGTGTGCAGGATTTTTCTCCATGCAATTGATGTGCGAGGCTCTCATCCTTTCATATCGTTGGCAAATTAAAAAAAGATATTTACAAATACACATCTATTTGTAAAAAACAAGTTACAAATATTAAATTTAACATTTGTGTATATCAAAACACATGTACAAACCAATCAGTCTGTGGATTTGTGAATATTAATGAGACAAAAGTAACCTCATAGTTTTACAGTTAAGTGTCAGTTTGTGGGAAAAAAAGAGCAGCAGAAAAATACAGGACTCCTGCTACACAGGGGTTTACTGTGAGTATCCAGATGATAAGAGCAACAGATCAGCACAAGAAAGATCTGGGACTGCAACTGTTTAATTAATTACCAACGGAGGGTCAACTACCTGCTTGTCTCCATGAAGATGTTATTGTTTTGTCTGGAATGTTCCGTGGTATGACATTAAACACATTCAGCTAGTATTTTTTTCATTCCGGTTGTTTCTAAAACTCAAAAATACAATAATTACACCACAATTTCCACAGATCTGAACTGTAATGTAACGTAGCGCTGTCACCTGCTCGTATCCCTCGTGATAAATGGGCTTAATGTGATAAATTTTTGACAAAACAATAACATTTCCGTGCACTTTTAAGTAAACAAATAACCTTTTATAAGCTACGAACAACAAAAACAACAACTCTCAGCTCTTTTAAACACTGGTAATGAGCGGCTCAGTCATTTGATTGATTGAAAATTTTTGACTTTAACAGATAAAAACACACCAACGTAAACAAGTCCGAACCCGGAACATCTCATGTCAGAATCCCGACTCGTCTATGTCCGATCAGGAAGTCGGATTTCACGCAAACTGGGGAATATTTTGCTTTTTTAGTGAGTCTACGGTGTCATATGCGCTTTAAAAATCGGACGAAACTGCAGTGTTGGCTCAGCTTTACCGGATTCTTTTTGTATTTTTGACGCAAACGGTGGAACGTTCAAGTGTATTTGTAAAAACTGTGGACTGTGAAGTGTAAAAAAAAAAGAACTTTTGTGAAGAAGGACGTGAATGATAGAGTCTAACATTTTATAAACGACTTTTTCTGGCTTTTCAAAGGGAAATTTGTGTAATGTGAAATATGTCTGCACCATAGAGCATGAACGTGTTTGTGTGTGTCTGTGTGTGTTGGGGTGTGTGAGTGTTTGTGTGTTTTTGTGCGTTTGTGTGTGTGTTTGTGTGTGTGTGAGACCCCAGCCCGCCTCTGGCCCATAGTCGTCCTTTCCTCCTGTCATCACTTATAACTGCACCACATCCTCTTGTATTGTGCACACGGGAAACACTTTAAGACTGTATATAAGGACTGTAATAAACATTCATTTTTACACAGTGAAAAGAGACTCCTGTTTTAGTCCTGTTTAGTCCTGTTTTAGTCCTGTTTAGTCCTGTTTTAGTCCTGTTTGGTCCTGTTTAGTCTCCAGGTCCTAGTGGAGACAAAAATTACAGAAGACCATATTCACTCCATATTCACCATATTCGTGTCAAATCCATGCCAAACCAGGCCAAAATTGTGCCAAATTTGGCCAGATGCTTGTCAAATTTATGCCAAATCAGGCCAAATTCATGCCAAACAAGGCAAAATTCGTACCAAACCAGGCCAAATTTGTGCCAGACTAGGCCAAATCCATGGCAAACCAGTCAAAACCAGGCCAAATTCATACCAAACAAGGCCAAATCAGGCCAAATTTGTGCCAAACCAGGTCAAATTTATGCCTAACAAAGCAAAATTTGTGCCAAACCAAGTCAAATCCATGCTAAACAAGGCCAAATTTCTCTAAAACCAGGCCAAATCCATGACAAACCAGGCCAAATTCATTGCAAATTTGTGCCAAACAAGCCAAATTTCTGCCAAATGTGTGACAAACCAGGTCAAATTCATGCCAAATGGCCAAATTTGTGTCAAACCAGGCCAGATTCATGCCAACCAAGGCCAAACCAGGTCAAATTCAAGCCAAACCAGGCAAAACTTGTGGCAATGTTGTGCCAAACAAGCCAAATGTGTGCCAAATCTGTGCAGATCCAGGCCAAATTCATGCCAAATCTATGCCAAATAAACATAAACATTCATTTTGATATAGTGAATAAGTGACTCCTGTTTCATTCCTGGTTTAGTCCTGTTTAGTCCTGTTCTACACCAGGTCCTAGTGAAGACAGAGATTACAGACCAAGACCAGAGAGCACACCATATTTGGCCAAATTTTTTCCCAAACCAGGCCAAATCTGAGTCAAACCGTCCAAGCGACTCTGGCGAAGGAGTGTGGAGTTTAAAAACACAGCAGAGCTCTTTCTGTATCACCACCGAAGAACTCGTGCTAAATCTGCAGGGTTTGTGCGTTAAACATGTGAATGAAACAAAAAAAAAACACAACTCCAGGTCTGTTTGTGACGAGGAAACAACATTATGTAGATCAGAACCTGGTGTAGTTTGGGCTCTTTAGACCTGGTTCTGTACCTGGACTCTGGATTATCCGCGGTGACTCTGGCATGAACAGTCAGATACTTTTGAAAATTGTCTCTCATTTTATTGTTGTATTTTACAGAAAAGGGCAGATCCACTTTCTGACAAACTTCAAATGTGACAAAACAAAGATTTATCCACGTCCACAGTCCACAAATCTCTCATCAAATCACAACCTAAACTCCAGAAAAATACAAATGGAACTTACATTTACATAGAAGTGCATGCATTTCATCTACAGTAACTCCAAGAATAAATCTGGTGCCAACGAAACCAAAACACTCCAAAACAGAAATGTGGTTTTAAAGTTATTTTACACACGAAATACAGGGAAGAGTCAGAATTTTGCTCATACGGTTTCGGTTCTGTCTCTGTCTAGTCCTGGTTAAGTCCTGGCTCAGTTCTACTTCAGTCCTGGTTCAGTCCTGCTCCTTATCATTTTGGTCCTGGTTGAGTCTTGGTTCAGTCTTGGTTGGGTCCACGTTCAGTCTTGGTTCAGTTTTGGGCTTCGTCACTCTAGTCCTGGTTGAGTCCTGGTTCAGTCCTGGTTCAGTTCTGGTCTTAGTCGCTCTAGTCCTGATTAAGTCCTGGTTTGGTTCTGGCTCAGTCCTGCTCATCATCACTCTAGTCCCTGTTTTAGTCCTGGTTGAGTCCCGGTACAGTCCTAGTCCAGTCCTGCTTTAGTCCTGGTTCAGTCTTGGTTCAGTCCTGGTTTAGTCCTGGTTCAGTCCTGGTTCAGTCTTCGTCCAGTCTTGGTTCAGCCCTAGTTTAGTCTTGGTTCAATCCTAGTTCAGTCCTGATCCAGTCCTCGTACAGTCCTGGTTCAGTCCTGCTTTAGTCCTGGTTCAGTAGTGGTTTAGTCCTGGTTCAGTCTTGGTCCAGTCTTGGTCCAGCCCTAGTTTAGTCTTGGTTCAGTCCTGGTCCAGTCCTGTTCAGTCTTCGTCCAGTCTTGGTTCAGCCCTAGTTTAGTCTTGGTTCAGTCCTAGTTCAGTCCTGATCCAGTCCTGGTACAGTCCTGGTTCAGTCCTAGTTCAGTCCTGGTCCAGTCCTGGTACAGTCCTGGTTCAGTCAGTCCTGGTCAGTCCTGGTCCTGGTCCAGTCCTGGTCCAGTCCTGTTTCAGTCCTGGTTCAGTCCTCGTCCAGTCCTGTTTCAGTCCTGTCCTTAGTCCTGGTTCAGTCCTGGTTCAGTCCTGTTTCAGTCCTGGTTTCAGTCCTGGTTCAGTCCTGGTCCAGTCCTGGTTCAGTCCTGTTCAGTCCTGGTTCAGTCCTGGTTTCAGTCCTGGTTCAGTCCTGGTTTCAGTCCTGGTTCAGTCCTGGTTCAGTCCTGTTCGTCGTCGCTCTGGTCCTTGGCGGGCTTGTCCTCGTTGGCTCCGCTCTCGTCGATGTTTTCCAGAGAGTCTGCCCTCTGGAGGCTGAGGCTACCGGGGTCTATGCAGGGCAGACTGTTCTGTTCGGGGAAGAGCCAGGGCTTGAGCTGGGGGCTGTGTTTACGCTTCCACTCGGGGTATTTCAGAGACGCCTTGTAGATCTTACGCATCGCCTGAAACCACAGAAGAACAGATCAGACGGGCCGCAGTTACAGCACTGACCAGCTGGAGGATGTGCATGGATGTCTATGGCGGAATGTTCAGCGCCTATCATGGTGCCACAGTACACACATTAACAAATACTGTAAAAAAAATTAAGAAAACTCAAGAAAAAAATACAGAATGGATTTAAACAGCACATTTTCAGAAGCCTGTGGGCTATACGAGCTTTTGTGGCCAAATTCGTGGCAAACCAGGTCAAATTTGTGCCAAACAAGGCCAAACCAGGCAAAATTTGTGCAAAAAAAGGTCAAATTTATGCCAAATCACACAATCTTCGTGCAAAACAAGGCCAAGTTTGTGCCAAATAAGACCAAAGCAGGCAGAATTCAGGCCACCCTAGGTCAAATTTGTGTGTGAAAATAGGCCATATTCATACCAAACCAGGCCAAATTGTTACCACTAAGGCCAAACCAGGTCAAATTCGTGCCAAACAAGGCCAAACTCGTACTAAACTGTTCCAAACCAGGCCAAATTTGTGCCAAACCAGGCCAAAATTGTGTCAAACCAGGTGAAATTCCTACCAGACAAGGCCCAACCAGGCCAAATTCAAGCCACATTAGGCCATATTCATCACATCACAATAGGGGAAGGAGAATTCTGCATGTATGTCTATGATGGAACATTCAGCGGTGACCACATTGACACAATGCTCACGTTTGCAAATACTGCCAAAAGAAAAAATTAAGAAAATACGAGCGTTTGTGGTCCTGTTTAATAGTCTGATTTTCAACAAAAAGGTGGGAGTGACTAACTGAAAAACTGCGATCGACATTGTGACTGTAATTTTATCTGAGTGTGTGACAAGAACATTTTCCTATCAGTAGACAGTCTTACAGAGATCTTTATGAAGGGATTTACAGAAGTTCTATCTGGACTAGGGAGACCAGACGTCCCTGTTTACCCGGGACAGTCCCAGTTTTGAGCCCTGTGTCCCCTGACAATCCGATCACCCTAATCTGAACCGTTCTGTGTGAAAAACATGTTATAAATGAGTGACTTTACCTTTGGAGCCACCAACTGAGACACTCTGTTCACCACCCACTTTGGTAATGAGCCTGAAACACAAACAAAACCACTCTGTAAACCAGGACAGATCAGGGCCAGTACCAGGTCTAGACCAGGACCACATCAGGACTTCGGGGTACCTTTGGGGTCCACCTGGGTGAGGTAGTAGAGGGTGGAGGAGTTGGGGCCGGTGGACTGAATCAGGTACCCGGTGAGGAGGGAGACCGCACGAACGTACTCTTTCTTTGGAGGATGTTGCTGAGAAAAAAACACAGAAAATAAAAGAAAGTCAAAAAGTAGTAGTAATAGCAGTAGCAGTAGTAGTAGTACTTACCGGGTGTTTGACTGAGTAGTTGATGATGAGGTAGTCGTTGCCCAGAGGAAGCCAGGACCTCATGGTGACAAAGTCTCTGTTTTTGAGTCCAGGAGGACACCTCCCTGAAACACACACAGCTCTGAACCAGGACTAGACCAGGACTGGACCAGGGCTAGACCAGGACTAGGCCATGACTGGACCAGGACCAAACCAGCTCTGGGTACTGTTAAAAGGCACCAATACAGAACAAAAGAAGAAAAAAAATCACACATTCATGGACCAGTGCGCCACACAAACACTGGGCGCACTCACTTTAGGACTTTAGAACCGTGCCACACTCAAGTATAACTGCGTACGGTTCACACTTGCACATCTGAACCATGGACCTATTAAAATAACCGGGCCACAGCCCAATGATGTCATCACACGGCGCTGTTTGTTTACATGTAGAGTGACCATATTTCCGTACAAGGGGCGGGGATTGGAGCCCTCGTCATCGACATTGAGCTACTCTAACCCTTGCAAAGCTGGACACCAAACATATGTGCCTGATTTGTAACCTGTGCACATGGCCTCCCACTTGTCCTGACCAGGACGGAAAAGCAGGGAATTTCTTGTGCAAGTCATCGTTAAATGCACATTTGTGCTTCGGCGTGTTGCAGGCTGACCGATTGTTTGTGTCTGCTCGCTCCTTCTGAGTGCAGAGAAAGCTACAAGAGACGCTCACTTTAATGGCCCCAATGAACGATCATGAAAACCTGGACATTTACATCACTTAAAAAACAAAACAAAACTCAGATGGCCAGGACAGGACGTGAAAAAAACTGACATGTCCAGAGAAAAATGGATGCTTGGTCACCCTATTTACATGCGCTAACCCCATAGTGCTAACACTTTCAGTGGAGAAAAAAAGTCCAGCGGCAGAAATATCTATAAAATTTTTATGATACACGTTCCTCCACGACTTAATGGAGATAAAAACAGCACCGAGCAGTGATGACAGCTGGAGACAAGCAGCTAAACAGTCTTTAGTGAAGGTGAGCGCGGGTCTGCCGTGTGTTTTGGAGCAGATAGTATTCACTGTTTTTATAATATGAGTAACGTCAGTGAACACACAGGGTTTGAAAAATAAAGTCGTGTACATGACGAACCGTGTTGAGCTTTGGCCCACCTCCTTCACCCAGGACATAGTCCCATTCGTGCCGCGTCTGAGCACAGTTCGATTTCTCTCACACTGGACAAATGTACTGCGCTTTAAGGACGATCTACGCTTGGGCATGGTTCAAAAGTCCTACTGTGACTGTACCCACCGAGGGTGAGGCAGGTTTAATGTCTTGCCAAAGGACACAACAACAGCATTGCTGCCAGAGAGCTGGGGCTAATAGAAGTATGAGCAGTATTGCTAGTAGTTGAAGTAAGTAGAAGTAGTAGCCTCAAAGGGGTACTGCTAGTAGTAGTAATACATAATACTACCACTACTAGTAGTACTATTTATAGTAGTCGACTTACAGGAGTAGTATCCCACGTCGGCGTTGACCGTGAGGCGTCCGATGTCGTAGGTGTCGATCATGTTCGTGTCCCACTTCCTCCTGTAGGGGGTGTCATGGAGCACGTCGTACACCGTCTCCGCGGGAACGTCTTTGCACACGATACGCATCTGACGACACAAAACATGAGAGTGAATTATCCTGCAGCGGTCCACAGCGCACATCACACACCACATTTCAGTAGTTTTAAAGTCGTTTTTAAAAGTCGAGGCACTAGTCTAAACTTGGACAACGTGCACCTCTTTTCAACACCTTCATTCCAACAGTGTCTAAAGAATTTTGTAGTAATCAACTGTAGTAGGTCGAGAGCAGTAAGAAGAGGCATGACGCTGGAGTTCTAACTGGAGAAGATAGTGTCCAGTCCAATCTAGTGCACTCCAGTCTGGCTATGCCTCTGTTGTAGGGAGTATTATACCTCCAAAATGACAAAGACTGAGAGGTGGCAGTGTTGGGCTGAAAGCAATTTGTCTATCTTTATACTAAACATGTTTTAATATATGTATAAAAATGCATTCAAATTGCAGTTTTCACTTTCACCAGTCGCTCTGTATGTCCTTCTGAACAGGCACTGCTTTATTTTGAATTAATCTCTAAATTACAGTGATCCTTTTTCTAATCCTTCAGCAGTGAACAAAGCTCAATAGAGGCTCCACTACATCACTGCATCACGTCTGTGTGAACCAGCACAGGTAAAGAAACAAACTCACATGTCAAACTCATAGACTTTATACACAGTGTTGGGAAAGTTACTTTTAAAATGTAATCCCCTACAGATTACAGATTACATACACCAAAATGTAGTTTGTAACGGAATCTATTAAATTACTTAAAGTGAGTAATGTAATCTGAATACTTTGGATTACTTGATTTGCTGTAGAGAAGCAAAGACCAGGATATCGTAACATAAGATGTTTTGTTTTATCTGTTAAAAGAAAATAAAAAGCCCAGACTTTACTGAACCAAATTAAAAATATTAATTGATAGAAGAAGAGGAAACACGTCCACGCAGCATGATTTAGTCCTGTTAAATCCAGTTTTAGTCCTTGTTTTAGTCCTGGTTTTAATCCTGGTTTAAGTCCTGGTTTAGACCTGATTTTAGACCTGGTTTAGACCTGGTTTAGACCTGGTTTAGACCTGGTTTAGACCTGGTTTTAGACCTGGTTTTAGACCTGGTTTAGACCTGGTTTAGACCTGGTTTTAGACCTGGTTTAGACCTGGTTTAGACCTGGTTTTAGACCTGGTTTACCTGGTTTAGACCTGGTTTTAGACCTGGTTTTAGACCTGGTTTACCTGGTTTAGACCTGGTTTAGACCTGGTTTAGTTTAGACCTGGTTTAGACCTGGTTTAGACCTGGTTTAGTCCTGGTTTAGACCTGGTTTAGACCTGGTTTAGACCTGGTTTTAGTCCTGGTTTAGACCTGGTTTAGACCTGGTTTAGTCCTGGTTTAGACCTGGTTTAGTCCTGGTTTAGACCTGGTTTAGACCTGTTTAGACCTGGTTTACCTGGTTTAGACCTGGTTTAGTCCTGGTTTTAGACCTGGTTTAGTCCTGGTTTAGTCCTGGTTTAGACCTGGTTTAGTCCTGGTTTTAGACCTGGTTTAGTCCTGGTTTTAGACCTGATTTAGTCCTGGTTTTAGACCTGGTTGGTTCCTGGTTTTAGTCCAGTCCAAACCAAGTCTAATCCAGTCAAAGGTCAAAGGTTTTTTGCTTTTTGCTGAAGTATGGTTCACACATGATGTAAAAAACACATAGGGAAATCATTTGTATTGCTTTTATTTTCCATGTACCTGGAGCTGCAAGCAGATAAAAGCAGATTATTAGAAGGTAACCAGGTGGGCACCAGTGACTCCCAACGTCACTGATTAGAAACTAGTAAAAGGTGCGCGCGCCTCAGTGTTGTTGTCTGTAGGCAGCTGTAGGCGGCGTGTGTAAGTAGGGAAGGTGTAATGTTGTCTGGTGATCAAGAGTTTTGAAGTGAAAGGTAAATGCACTTTATGTTGAGTATTTGGTTTGGTGGTGGCTAATGTCATTCTTGTAAGTAACCCGTGTGTTCTTGTATAACAGACAGCCACTACTGCTAGTAATTTTGCTCTCAAATTCTAATTTCAAATTCCCTTTAGTCACTGTAGCTGTTGACTGTAGTGTTTATTTATGGTCAGGAGAGTCGTGCAATAGAGGGTAGTGCAATGTGGGTCAGTCTGCTTTAGGGTCAGGAGTAACATATGGGTCCGGTCAAGCAGAAGTAAACAACAAGGCCAAAAACTCAAGTTAATGCATCTGATATAAAAATGTATTGAACAGATACATATGTACTCTAGTTTATGAAACTGTTGACCTTTTTTCTGTACCATTTTTGGTTCTAAAGTTACATATGTTTTAAACAGACCATGTATGAAACATGGAACAAAAATTATTTCCCAAATTTCAAAGACCTGCAAATCATGTAAATAAATGGATGTATTTCATCATATCTTGTGTTATTCCATCTTTGAACTGTTGATGAAGGTACATGATTTTTCAAAAAAAAATGTATTTAAAATGATAAAAATTTGCTTGGAAGGACTGACATATTTTATAGAAATAGTTTCCTTTCATTTTGAAGTAATATTAAAGTATTCAGAAGAAAAAAATGACAAATTATGTAAAATCCTGCACCTTCTACTTGTTTTGAACAATTTTCCCTCCGTTACTTTTCCCTCCGTTACCATGAACCTTCTTCATAAAAAATCTCATGAGTCAAAAAGTAAGAGGTTTTTCAACCTAATCTTGTACCATATGGTAGAAAAATATATGAAGCAAATATTCAAACCAGTTTGTTAAGGATATGTAAGTGAGAACCAAGAGTTATCACTGTTTGGATTTATTGCCCAAAAAGTGCTGCATATTTCATTCCCTCCATTACCAACATGAGTTTTTTTTATTTTTTGTCAACAACTTGAAAGAATATCACAGGTTTAACTTGACCCTGTTGGAGTGTAACTCTTTCCTACATTCTGATACTTTACTTATTTCAATAGTTCCTCTAGTTTCTGAATAAGAGACATTTGAATGTAAAAAATCTGCCCGTTTCCCTCCGTTACCACTTGACTGGACCCATAAGACACTTTAGACTTTATAGGCTTCTAGCATCTTGGACTTTAAACATCTAAAACTTCAAAAAAAAAAAAAACACTTTAATCCCATATACTTAAGCACAATTATAATTCTATATACTGCCTTTGTGCTTTGCATTTCCAGACCTGGCTGTACTTTATAAATGAATGTACTGTGGGGAGCCCTTAGCCTACCCAAGGTTACTAGAATAACACGAGACTAAATGATTTTGTTGAAACATTTTAAAATATGTTGAATGAAATGTCACGGACAGGAAATTCGTGGCGACATCGCGGCCTGTAACTGCATTTTTAACGGTCCTGGTTTAACATGAGACCGTGGGGACAACAACAGTGACAGATACAGTATGTGGTTTCTTCAGGAGCCAAATCAGAGTTCACAGATCACCCGGAGCACAGACCCGCTCCTGTTTCCTCGACCTCACGGGGACAGATCGTGTGACTAATGGTCCCTGTAATGTCCCTCCGAGCCACCGTATGATCTCATTACTCAGCCCGCTCCATGTGTGCCAGTGGGACAGGACGAGTTTGAGCCGTTCTACTCTGAGGCAGCTTCTCATTTCTCTCTTTTTCACTTCCTTCTCCTTCATTCCTCTCCTTGATCCTCCATTTTTCAGCCGTCAATCAAATGTGTCATATTAAGCGGTGACCTAAAGAAAACGACGGAGTGAAGGAGTAAACCTGAGGGAGGCTTCAGGAGCAGACGTCAGAGAAAAGAATCAAACTTTATTGGTCTCAGTGATCCTCTCTTCTCACTTTATCTCCACTGTGGGGGGGACTTCCTCACCCATTTCCTACAGAGTCGAGGAGAAGGAAGAGAGGAAAGAGAAATGAGACCCGACCTACATCTGAATAGTATTAGTGGGAGTTTTAGTAGTATTAGTAGAAGTAAAAGGTCACATTTTTATATAGTACTTTTCCACCTTCAAGGCACTTTGCACTTTACATCAAGGAACCACTCACTCATTCACTCTCATACACCAGTTTACACAGACACTAGGGGTGAGAGGGGTTAAGTGTCTTGCCTGAAGACACAACAACAGTATTCATCTCTGGGAGCTGGAAACGCACAGCCAACCTCTACCAGTGATGTTTATGTCAAGAGTGGGATTCAAACCACCAACCTTCTGATCAGTGGACAAAAGCTCTACCAACCCAAACCACTCCCTTTCATAGTAACAGGACTGGTAAAATGAAGTACTGCGTTTATCATCGGTAAAGAGAAAAGTATTTTCTAAAAAATATTTATTTTTTTAGGGAGAAGCATCAAGTTTTCTCAAGTCACAGGCCTCAAGTCAAAGTGAAGTCCCAAGTCATTGACCTTCAAGTCCAAGTCGAGTCCCAAGTTCTAAAAGTAGTGACTCAAGTCGGAATCGAATCCAAATCCTCCACCTCTTGTAAATGGTCACATTTTTATACAGCGCTTTTCCACCTTCAGGTCTCTCAAATTGCTTCATAACAGATTCACACACACATTCATAAACTGGTGTACGCAGGCACTGGGGCGAGGTGGGTTAAGTGTCTTGCCCAAGGACACCTGGGCAAGACACTTGCCTGTGGGTCTGTGGATCTAACCACTCAAGCCGTGATGTTTATGTCAAGAGAGGAATTCAAACCACCAACCTTCAGATCAGTGGATAAACGCTTTACCAACTGAGCTACTGCCGCTCATTTGCTTTGTCTGGAATGTTCCACATTATGGCATTAAACCTTTCTATCTTCATGGAGACCAAACCAGACCAAGTTACAGGTCAGATTTGTGGAGAGGCGACCCCGCTAAAACTCAGAATGCTTGCTTTTCACAATATTTTTGAGCTATAAAACCACCTGTAATTGAATAAATGTAAGGCAGAGGTTGTCAAACTAAGGCCAGCGGGCCAACTCTGGCCCTCCACACCCCTTTCACAGGCCCCCAAGCCCCTCTGCCCCCAACACTTGAACTGGCCCTGAGAGGCAGTCCTCAAAAGTGTCATGGACTAGTTTTTAAAATTCCTTTTTGGCAAATAACAACACATCTGCATCTTGTATTTTGCAGATTTTTTTCAATTAAAAAAACATATGTATATGAAGTATTTAGATTTATATAATCATATGACGTATTTACATTTGCCACTGTATTTTTGTCACCTTACAAACTCGAGATCAAACCGTGACAGTCGACAACACTCAGAGTTCTGTAGTGCAGTTAAAAACAGCAAATGGCTTGTGTTAAAGTAAGAAAAGTTGACAGAGAGTGCAGAGTTTTCAGAGATCAATGGACAACTGATTATTATTTTTTTGTTCAGTGTAAGAACTGTGCAGTTTGTCTGATATGTAAAGAAAATGTGGAGGTTTTCAGAGAATATAATCTGCATCATCAGGCTCATACAATTCTGTTATACATCCAACCTGACCCCAGCCCCCATCACAGTCAGGAGCGATAATGTCGCCCCCAGAGAAAAAACTTTGGTGACCCCTGTAAGGTAAAACGGTTTAATGTCGCACTGTGGAACCTTCCAGACACAGGAAACAAGCCAATTCAAGTCTCACTGCTGTAACTGGAGCCCTGTGTGCTGCCGTGAACAGGAAATCAACAAGATTCCCAAATAGTGGAGGAATTGGCAATCCCGAGGAGTGCTTCTGGTGTTTAGTGTCTACTGTCCCTGTGGGCCACCGTACCTGTGCTGATGTGTCTTTTCCACTGGCCTCTCTGGTTTCGCTGTAACTCTATCAGCGCCTCCTGCTCCCTGTTAAACTTTGATAGGCTCATGTCTCGATGTGGTCAGACTGGACTTGGATTACTATAATTTTATGTTTTATTTTTACTTGTACTCGCATTTATATAATTACTATGCTTTGTTTGACTTGAGTCGTGCTCTCACAATGAAACAAAACACAACTCCAGGTCTGTTTTTGTGGAGGTAAAAACATTATAACATGACTGAAAGCTCTCAAGAGGCAGTTTCGTGTCATATAAGACGTTTAAGCTCCTCGAGATTTTGTTCTAGGTGATCGTTATCAATCCCTGCTTGCTGATGTGGTATAGTTTAGACAATCAAAAGACGGAAACTTGCTCATGGGACAATAAACCAGTAGCCAAGCTGGCATCACCTAGTGCCTCTGTGCAATTTCACTTGACTCAAGTGACTAGGTCAGGAATCACAATACACTAGATGATTTGCAAAAACCCTGGAAGTGTGATTCCAGGCACCAGCCAATTAGCGAAGAGACATACATTGTGTGTTGACAACGATTCCTGAAATCGAACATTTAAAGATGGAACAAAGAGAATGTTTGGTAAATTTTATCATGGGGAAAGACGTTATTGTCCTTCTTCCTACGGATTTGGGAAAAGATTAATATAAGCCCTGTTAGTGGAGCATTACATATGTCATGACCAAATAGCAGCGATTGGTTGAATAAAAAAGTACCCGCCTACCATTGAGAGAATGAATCCTAATGCTGCGAGGTCAGACGGTTTCCACGAAGTCAATCCGGCTGATGAATCAGGTTAATAAACCAGGACAAGGGGGCTTTTTTACTCTCACTTTATTTGGATGCCTTTTCATTGGAGTTTAGACACCCCTTTGCGCGTCTCTTGTCCTGGAAACAAGTGCCCGGTCCCGGTCTTTTCCCGAAACAATGTGCAGACCAGACTGAGAGAGTGACTTTAGTGTATTTATTACATAAAACCATCAGCGGAGGTTTGGTTGACGCGGCATGTCTGAAGCGAAAAGTTCAGCATTTTCAAATTCTGACACTGATGCCATGGACGTGCGTCTAGAGCGTCGGTGCCAGAACGCTCAAGACGCACCGTGTCGACGCCAGATTTGCGCCGCACTGACGCTCGAAGACGTGCCACAAAAACGCAGGACGCCGTAGACGTGCGTCCACACAGACTTTATACACACATAGACATATAAACTGGATGCCTTGACGCTCTGGTCTGAACAGGCCTTTAGGTTGGCGGTTCAAATACCCCTCTCTACAAAAAAACATGAGTTGAGCAGTGAGATCCATTGACTCACAGGTTGGCGGTGTGATTGCCTGATATTACACCAATAAACTGTACTTAAAATGAATAAACGAGGATTTTTTCTAGTAAATCTTAGTTTGTTTTGTTTTTTTTCAGTGCACCTGGGATACTGTCCTGAGGAAGTTGGAAATCAGAAATCAGAAGACAGCACCAAAACCTGTTTAAATCAGCTGACCAGTCACAGCAACACCAAGAGACTCTGAGGAAGACCGAGCAGTCGAAACTGTCAGGTACGAAAACAAACTGTTGGTCTGAAAAAAATTATCTCATAAAATAAAGCAGCGTAGGACCAAATGAACCTTGTTGGACTGGTTTAGTTTAGGTTCAGACCTGGTTTAGTTTGGGTTTGGAGCAGGTTGATCCTTGAGTGAGACCTGCCAGTCCTGTCTGGTCTGGTTTGTGTGTGTGTGTGTGTGTTTGTGTGCGTCAGATGGAGGTCAGTGTGTCGCGCTCAGAGGAAAGTCTCATTTGAACGGACAGAGAAGGAAAGGAAACCGATCAGACCTGGATCAGACCTGTGCTTGAGCCTTCAGAGAAACGAGGGCGGTTCACTCCCATTTGAGATGATGGGACAAGATTTCGTACCACAAGAGACAAAACTGCCACAAGATCGAGCACACCTGAGAAAAACTATCTTGTTTACATTTTGGACGGGACAAAAAAGGGTTAAGTGTTGTCTAAGTGCTGAGTTACATTTCTTTAGAAGTTGTAGCTCTGAAAAAGCAGTACTACAATGACAGAAAAACATGAAATAAATTTAAAATGTTTAGACCAAAATTTGGATGGATGGAACATATTCTCAGTCTCGTTCTTGTGGACTCAATCTCGTGTCTCGTCTCGTGAAAATGCCCAAAGGCCATACATCAGAATTAGAGAAAGACCTAGAGATAAATCTGTCGACAACTTGGCCTTAAAGGGACAGTTTGGAATTTTGGACATCGAACCTCATTTTCTACTGAGCCAGAGTGTTGGAGACGTGTGGAGACACTTTTTAAAATATTCCATCCAGTCCTTGTATTTGCAGAGGTCGCTGGTGCTAAACTAGTGCATGTCAATGGCCATAGTTTATCCTGCCACTAAAAACAGTCTTACCCACTCCACAAAAAACACCTGAAGAAAATCTATTATTACTCCAGACTGTCCGATGTAAATGTCTGTGTGTCGATAGAATAATTTTAGAAGTAAAACCAACCTTGCATTTGAAGGATTTATGTCTGAGCTGCAGCAGTGAGTTGTTCTTCCTGATAGAAAGCTCAGCAGCGGCGGACTGATATATGAGAAAATAGTCCCTCAACATGTTGCGATTCATGCGATGCAAGGTTAGTTTAATTTCAAACATTATTCTATCGACACAGACATTTACATGGACAGTCTGGAGTAATAATAGATTTGTTTTGAGTGTTTTGTGGAGTGGGTAAGACTGTTTTTAGTGGCAGGATAAACTATGGCCATTGACATGCACTAGTCTAGCACCAGCGACCTCTGCAAATACAAGGACTGAATGGAATATTTTTTTAAAGTGTCTCAACATGTCTCCAACACTCTGGCTCACTAGGAAATGAGGCCCTATGTTCAAAATTCTGACCTCGCAGCATTAGGATTCGTTCGCTCGACGGTAGGCGGGTACTTTTTTTTTATTTAACCAGTCGCTGTTATTTGGTCATGACGTATGTAATGCACTGCTAACAGGGCTAACTGGTATATTAAGCGTTTCCCAAATCCCATACGAATAACGTCTTTCCCTCGATAAAATTCACCAAACATTCTCTTTGTTCCTGCTTTAAATCCTCGATCTCGGGAATCGTTGCCAACACAAAATGTATGGTTCTTCGCTGATTGGCTGGTGCCCGAACTTGCACTTTCGAGGTTTTTGTGAACCGTCTAGTAGTATATTCCAATTTCTGACTTGATCACTGGACAGAAATTAAATTGAGCAGAGGCATTAGGTGGCACTATAATGGCTACCATGTTACAGGCACTGTTCGACAAAAAAAAAAAAAAAAAAAAAGCATGTTGCAGTATTTAATTAGTCTGGAAATTACAGTAATGGAAGCTACAACAGGTGAGCTGATTTGTGCTGTTAAATAAGTCTTGTTAAAGTTAACTTTTGTTGAAAATTAAACCCCTTAACACGACCATAAATGTTCGGACTCATCAATGACTCCTGGTTGCATACTTGTATTTTTTAACTTTTTAGTCAGTGTTTGCATTGCGTCACCGTGGTAACAGCTGAACATTCCACCACAGACGTCCACGTAGAACCCCGTCAGTGTGATGTCAGTGCAGAGTATCGACAGAGCAGCAGGTGCAGACCCGGCTCAGAGTCCCCGCAGAAAGTCTGACTCAGTTTTGAGCCTGAGAACAGAGCGGCTTTAATAATTGAGCAGGTCTTTCTGAAGCACCGAGGCGTTTCTCCTTCTGCATTAATGTAAGAAACTCTAAACCAGGACTGGAGCTGAGCGTGGTTATAACACGACCAACGCCATCTCCATAGACACACGCAGACTGCCTCGTATCACCATGAGCTCACCAGAAACATAGAGAAATGAAAACACCAGGATCATGTAATTCAAGTCAATTGGAAACAGAGTCAGTGGAGCCAGAAGTGCCCCCATGAACACTTTCTATTTGGAGCTTAGCCATGACCTTTTTTTAGAGTCTGTGGTTCAGACACAAGCTGACCACCTCATATCACAAACCAGACCTGAGCAGATCTAAATCAGACCCACACACAGACTCCTGGCTCCTCAGAACTGGGCTCTGCTCTGGTGTGCCACAGGGGACAGTTCTAGGGCTGCTCTTGTTTTCTGTATAAACACGCTCACACCATCTGACTGTTCTAGTGTTGTAGTACTCGACCTTGGTCTTGAGATCGGCCTCAAGACCGTTTTTTTACAATCTTGGGCCCCGTCCACACTAGTTTGTATTTGAGTTGTTTTCGTTGTGGATGCAGTTTTCGTTCACACTAATATGATGGAAAACGGCTCCAAAGATGGAACGATCTGGTGCCTCCAGCTCCCACGAATTCATCTGAGTACAGATCAGATCCGGCACTGTGTGGACGCCTGAAAACACTGATACGCTGATGTAGGAGCTCTAGTTGTGTCCTTATTGGACCACGTCACTGTAATTTGTGCCTTCCTGATTCGCTGGGATCGTCACATTGGTCATGTGATGCTATTCCGGGCAGTATAAACAAACCATAGACAAATGGGAAACAGTGTAGCGAGAACTACTATGCTCATCTTAAAATCCAGTGTTATGTTCAGTAACAACTGAACCTCGTTGTCGGTCCATGAAAAGACTGTTTTCACACTTGCCATCTTCCTCGTTTCAAAATCGGCTGCTGCAACTTCAGACACGGTGCTCCACTTCCTAGTTTTTACCTCCATAGGGAAGGCTTGTGGACACAGAAACTGGATGCAATTCTGATACGGTAATTCGTTTCTATCTTGTCTGAGACTCGACTGCATTTGGATTCGGTCTTGTCTTGGTCTTGAAGGCGCTTGGACTCGGTCTTGTCTCGGACTCGAGGTCTGACACTCGTTGAGTGCGATCACATTTCATTACGGCCGCTCCTTCGGCAATAAACTTCTTATCGCGACATGCAGTTGGAGATTGCCCAATAAAAGTGCACAAATGCATCTGTATTTGTCACAGCGTGCGTTTGGTAAATGTGCAGAGGTAAATCTCACTGCAAAACCAATAAGAGAATGTAACTCCAGATAGGAATTTGAAAAAACAGGTTTAATATTCCTACAAACTTTCTTCACAGTTTTGTGTAAAGTGCCAGTGGAAGTTCTCTTAAAGAAAAGCTTCTCAAACTTTGGGTCAGGGTCCAAAAAGGGTCGCAGAGTCTTTTAGTGCAGTATAGTTTGTTAGATAAATAGATGGATAGAGATAGATTTATAAAAACATTGATATAAATGAGCCAAAATAACTGTAAAATATAAATAAATGTTGAAAATTACAAATATGGTCTCGATTTGATCCCAATGGGTCGTGGTCTCCGTCTTGTCTTGGTCTTGACTTTTCAAAGTCTCGATCTTGATCCTCAGAGGTCTTGGTCTTGGTCTTGTCCTGGTCTCGGGTCTGTGGTCTCGGACTGGTCTTGGTCTCAATTAGTGCGGTTTTGACCACAACACTAGACTGTACTACATTTTTTTCCTTTTTTCCTTTACATTGATTTCCACATTGATTATAAAAACAGTTTCACCTTAATTTTTTTTTTTTCACTTTTGCTCTGAGTTTCCCCACCCTTTGCTCTCAACGCTAAGTCACTCCCCCTTTAGAGTGCTCTCACAACACCATCAGCGTGAATCTTGCACATGAAATCATTGCACGTCACATCAGGTTTAGTATAACGTTATTAGATGGTAAAAATCTCAAAAAAGCTTTAATAATCATGAACACTTAGTGGCTGTAGTACCTTGATTTTCTGCACGGTGGCGCTCTCCTCGGCTCGGATCCACACTGTGATGTTGTTCTTGTTGAACTTGGGGATCCAGCCTTCAGGGTTCAGGCACTGGTCTTTGAAGGAGGAGAAGTCCCGGTCGTCCGGGATTTGAACCGGCATCTTCTGCCCCCAAAAAACAGCCCAACGTACGGAGGCAAGTTGGGAAAATTCAGAAGAATAAAACGGAAAAATTCTAGAGTTTTTGAAAGAAAGTTTGTAACTATTGTTATACCAGAATGTAAAAAAAAAATTCTTCTTGTGTACGGAAAGAAACAAACGGCACAAATATGTTGGAAAAAAGTCCTTGAAAATCGTTAAACTGACAAGAAAAGTTTGTATCCAGGTTTGTCCAAAATACGTCCTACATGGAAAAGAGTGAACTGAAAAAAACTAGAGAATTAAGGACAGAAAAAGTGCGTCCCTGGAGCAGACGGAGAACAGGTCAGTTGAATGGGACAGGTGCAAAGACGGGACAGTGTCAAAGAGGCACAAGAGAGAGAGGAAAGAGAGGACAGAGCGCTCACTCCCACACAGGACAGAGGACAGTATTGTGTTCAGAGCAGAGAGAGGAGAAAGGACAAGGCACTCACTCTGAAGAGACATTTTCTGAAACTTTCTAAGCAAATATGACCAGGAAATCGTTTTATTACATCACAATTCACACGATATCGACTGAACTGACTGAAAATTTTGTAGCCGACGTTCAATCCTGTAAATTTTTCAGTATCAGCGCCGATATCTGATACCAATGTTAGACCAGTGTATCCTTCGTTGTGATTATGTTATTGCTTTGTCTGGTATGTTTCACAGTCTGGTATTAAACCATTCTGTCTTCATGGAGACCAAACCAGACCAAGTTACAGGCCAGATCTGCGGAGAGTAAGTTGACCAGATGTCCCTTTTAACCCCGGACAGTCCCAGCAGATTTATCCAAAACCAGTGTCCCAGTTTTATACAAGAAATGTCCCAGGTGTCCCTATTTATGACTTGTTTGTTTCAGTAAAATACAGAAAATCTGCTTAAAAACGACCAAAACACAAAGAAACTGTGACTATACTGACTCACATTATTGCCGAGAGCAGAACAATTTTCCTTAATTACACTCTTGTTTCACAATTTTATTACTACCAACCACTAGGGTTTGGCGGTATCCAAATTTTGATACTGTTAAACCTTCTCAGGATTTTACAGGGGTATAAAGTATTACTGTACTACCAAAATGTTTTAGTATGATTTTGGTAAACTATGAAGCCGCACTGCTATACAGTCTACGCGTATGACCTGCAGACTTATAATCTCCAATGCCATAGATCACAGGTGTCAAACATATGGCCCGGGGGCCAGATCCGGCCCTCCAAGACCTTTAATCTGGCCCTCGGCTGATTTTGTACTAAAATATTTTAATTATATTTTCTATTAAAATCTTGTTAATTTTCTGTGGTGTTTATCAGAGCAGCGTCTCCAGCGTCTCTGTACGTGGTTTATATGCCATGAGTTTTCTGATCCGGCCCCTTTGAGATCAAAGTAGGATGGATACGGCCCCCGGACCAAAATGAGTTTGACACCCCTGTTATAGAAGCACAGAACAGACTCACCATCAGCAGCACATCCCTCTGCCACAGAAAGAACACTCATATTCCACCGAGTCATGTCCTTTAGTCCAACAGAAGCTGAACTGCATCAGCGCACAAAGAAAGAGCTGTTTTTATCAGCGCTTTATAGTTTATGCAAATTAGTCATGTGGTTTTAAGTTTCATTTCTGTAAAACGTAAACAAATGTGGCCTGAAGTCAAAATGTTGGAAAATTGCAGAAGTACTAGTATTTTTTTTCTTTAATTGAAAATACAACTACACATTCATTTGTGCTGACCAAACAAATTTAGGTATCAATAAATTTTAACATTATATTAGGTCCTTATGTGCTGCAGATTTTTAATGATAATGAAACTGATACCGTTGCTACTTTTTGCACTTTAATTGAATAAATGTAAAATAGAGCTGTTTAATGTCACAGTGTGGAACATTCCAGGCAGAGATTTGACATCTTCAAAGAAATCAGAAAGTGATGGACCACTAAACGAAAAGTTACATAGTGCACCTTTAATAAACATAAGCCCCAGAGTAAAGTTTCATCTGTAGAGGTCAGAGTGAGACTTGTGTTCTCCTCAAACTATCTCTGTCCCCATTGTTTACAGGAGACACAGTGCCTTCAAAAAAACTCTGGAAAACACACAACTGAACCCAAACCAGACCAGAATCCAGACTACAGAACTAAACCAGGACTAAATCTAGTCTGGAATTAATTCATGTCAAAACCAATACTGAACCTGGACTAAACTTGGACTAAACCTGGACTAAACCTGAACTAAACCTGAACTAAACCAGGACTAAACCTGAACAAAACCTAGACTAAACCTAAAATAAATCTAGCCTAAATAAGGACTAAACCTGAACTAAACCTGAGCTAAATCTGGACTAAACCTGAACTAAATCTGAACTAAACCAGACCTTAATCTGGACTAAACCTGGATTAACCTTAACTAAATCTGGACTAAACATGTATTAAATGTGAACTAAATCTGGACTAAACCTGAACTAAACCTGGAATAAATTTCTTCTAAACCTGGCCTAAATCTAGACTAAACCTGAACTAAACCTGGACTAAACCTGGACTAAACCTGAACTAAACCAGGCCTTAATCTGGACTAAACCTGGATTAACCTGAACTAAAGATGGACTAAACATGTATTAAATGTGGACTAAATCTGGACTAAACCTGAACTAAACCTGAAATAAACCTGGACCAAATCTGGACTAAACCTGGACTAAATATGAGCTAAATTTGAACTCAACCCGAACTAAACCTGGATTTTTCAGCGAACAGTTGTGGTTCTTGTGTTTCTGTTTTCCGCACGTCCCTGAAGGCAGCACGGGGAGGACACCTGAGCAGGTAAAGGGGGCGGGGCTTGTGTCAGGTTGCAGCTTCTGTTTCACTGGGACAAAAACATGAGTGAGTTTCCACTGACGACACAGAAGCAGACCGGTCCAGGACAAAAGCACAGGCACAGGACACGGGAGGCCGGGTTTTCCTACAAACCTACAGAGCCAAAGAATATCACGAGAAGTCTCAAACTGAAAACACTCTGTTCCACCTTGTGATGTCACGTGGTAATACAGGAAGTGCTCCACTGTGTTTTTAAACTCCACACACCTTCACTAGAATCATTCGGATCATTTAATTTAGTAGTTGTCGAAGTTGTTGTAGTAATAGTAATAGTAATAGTAGTTGTTGTTGTTGTAGTAGTAGTGTAGTAGTAGTAGTAGTAGTAGTAGTAGTAGTAGTAGTAGTAGTAGTAGTAGTAGTAGTAGTAGTAGTAGTAGTAGTAGTAGTAGTAGTAGAAGAAGTAGTGGTAGTTGTATTAGTAGTAGTTGTTGTTGCAGTAGTAGAAGTAGTAGTAGTAATAGTTGTAGTAGTAATAGTAGTAGTAGTAGTAGTAGTAGTAGTTAGTAGTAGTAGTTGTTTTTGTTGTAGGTGTAGTAGCAGTAATAGTAGTAGTAGTAGTAGTAGTAGTAGTAGTAGTAGTAGTAGTAGTAGTAGTAGTAGTAGTAGTAGTAGTAGTAGTAGTAGTAGTAGTTGTTAGTTAGTTGTAGTTGTAGTTGTAGTAGTAGTAGTAGTAGTAGCTAGTTGTTAGTAGTAGTAGTAGTAGTAGTAGTAGTAGTAGTAGTTGTTGTTGTTGTAGTAGTAGTTGTTGTAGTAGTAGTAGTAGTAGTTGTATTAGTAGTAGTTGTAGTTAGTTTTTGTAGTAGGTGTAGTAGTAGTAGTAGTAGTAGTAGTAGTAGTTGTAGTGTAGTTGTAGTAGTGTAGTAGTAGTAGTAGTTGTAGTAGTAGTAGTAGTAGTAGTAGTAGTAGTAGTAGTAGTAGTAGTTGTAGTAGTAGTAGTAGTAGTAGTAGTAGTAGTAGTAGTAGTTGTTGTTGTAGTAGTAGTAGTAGTAGTGTAGTAGTAGTAGTTGTTGTTAGTAGTTGTTGTAGTAGTAGTAGTAGTAGTAGTAGTAGTAGTAGTAGTTGTAGTAGTAGTAGTAGTAGTAGTAGTAGTAGTAGTAGTAGTAGTAGTAGTTAGTTGTAGTAGTAGTAGTAGTAGTAGTAGTGTAGTAGTAGTAGTTAGTTGTTAGTAGTAGTAGTTGTTAGTTTAGTAAGTAGTAGTTGTAGTAGTAGTAGTAGTAGTAGTTAGTAGTAGTTAGTAGTAGTAGTAGTGTAGTTGTAGTAGTAGTAGTAGTAGTAGTAGTAGTAGTAGTAGTAGTAGTAGTTGTAGTAGTAGTGATAGTTGTAGTGTAGTAGTAGTAGTTAGTAGTAGTAGTAGTGTAGTTAGTGTAGTAGTAGTAGTAGTAGTAGTAGTGTTGTTGTAGTAGTAGTTGTTGTTAGTAGTAGTAGTAGTAGTAGTTGTAGTAGTAGTAGTTGTTGTTGTAGTAGTAGTAGTAGTAGTAGTAGTAGTAGTAGTAGTAGTAGTAGTAGTAGTAGTGTAGTAGTAGTAGTAGTAGTAGTAGTAGTAGTAGTAGTAGTAGTAGTAGTAGTAGTAGTAGTAGTAGTAGTAGTAGTAGTAGTTGTAGTTGTTGTTGTAGTTGTTGTAGTAGTTGTAGTAGTTGTTGTAGTTGTAGTTAGTAGTAGTGTAGTAGTTAGTAGTTGTAGTAGTTAGTAGTTGTAGTAGTAGTAGTAGTAGTAGTAGTAGTAGTTGTAGTAGTAGTTGTTGTAGTAGTAGTTAGTGTAGTAGTAGTAGTAGTAGTTAGTAGTAGTAGTAGTAGTAGTAGTAGTAGTAGTTAGTAGTAGTAGTAGTAGTAGTAGTAGTAGTAGTAGTAGTAGTAGTAGTAGTAGTTAGTTGTTGTTGTAGTGTTGTTGTAGTAGTAGTAGTAGTAGTAGTAGTAGTAGTAGTAGTAGTAGTAGTAGTTGTTGTTGTTGTAGAGTAGTAGTAGTTGTTGTTGTTAGTAAGTAGTAGTAGTAGTTAGTAGTTAGTTGTGTAGTAGTAGTAGTAGTAGTAGTAGTAGTAGTAGTAGTAGTGTAGTAGTAGTAGTAGTAGTAGTAGTAGTAGTAGTTGTTGTTAGTAGAGTAGTAGTTGTTGTTGTTGTTGAAGAGTAAGTAGTAGTTGAGTTGTTGAAGGAGAGTGAGTAAGTGAGATGTAGTCCAGTAGTTTATAG